TCCTGCTCCAGGGCCAGCTCAAGCTCATCGTAGACCAGCTGGATGGCGAGGTGCAGGTTGTCGTGTTCGTCGCTCTCCTTCTAGAGGGTGTCCTTCACCTCGATGAGCTCCTTCTCTAGGCCACAACTCTTCACCACCTCTGCCCCGAGCTTGTCATTGAGACCTGCCCAAGTCACATACTGACCATGTCAAAAGGCTTACCATGGATTCTAGGGAGAAAGACAAGGAAAACCAGAGACTCACCATTCACATCCGCTCGAAGCCTGTGCACCTCATCGCGTTGCTGGGTCACCTTGGCCTCTAGGCACTGGACCTCTTCTTGGCGTTGACTGACCTCCACGACGAGCCCGATGGACATGCCCTTGGCTGCAACCTTCAGGTCCCTCTCCCCTGAAGCTCATCCTCGAGGTGGTCGATCCGTTGCTGAGCGTCGGTGAGCTCCTAGCGAGCCAGGTCAATTCCCATGCGGAGCTCCTCTACGGCCCAGAGCAAATCGTCCTGCTCCTTCTATAGTCGCTCAGCCTCCATGGTGTCCATGCGCACCATCTCAATCAGGGCCACGAACTTCTCCTCGGCCTCGCGGGTGTCGTCGTGAGTGTCCTTCTCCCTGACTCGGATCCTAGGGACCGGAATCAAGAAAAATCTTTCTGACCTCCCAAATCCTATGGTTACATGCCCTAAGAAGATCGATCACAACAAAAGGGAATCAATGTCCTACCAGGACACGCCGTGGGCTACAAAAAGAAGGCCAAGGCCCTTAGAGTCCTCTCGTTCGGAAAAACCTCCAAAGGAGTATTCTACTCCTCCATAGGCTTAGGGGCTACTGTCTGGTATCGATATTAGGGATACCCAAAGGAAGGAAGTTAACGCCCACGCTGACTTCCTTGGATAGCTTGAGACGTACTAAAAGGTCTCACCCGACCCCAAGGCCACGGGCTCTGTCTCGCCAGACCTCGAGGCTGCGGGCTCCATCTCGCCCGACCCCTTAGGTGCGGACTCTGTCTCGCCCAACCCTAAGGATGCGGGTTTCGTCTCGCCCAAGGCCGCAAGCTCCATCTCGCCCGACCTCGAGGCCACGGGCTCCGTCTTGCCCGACCTTGAGGGTGCGGGCTCCGTCTCGCCCGACCCCAAGGACGCGATTTCCGTCTCGCCCAAGGTCGCGGGCTCCATCTCGTCCGATGGGGACCCATACCGCTGCCAACCACTACAGGTCTAAGCGTATGGGCCTGGGTCAAAATTCTGACGCCAGGGAAGAGGCTAGCACGCCTTGATGTAACCCATGGCCATGACGGTCCATACCTGGGGATTCACATCAAGAACAATGTCGGACGTGCTGTTGCTATTCTACCTAATCCTCGTACGGATGCTGACAGTTCACCACGACGTCCGTTGGGATGGAGTGGAACGCTATGATCGGCAGATGACGCCTGCGCATAGCGCCAGTGACAAACAGGGCCGCGACATGGAGCTGTCCCTGTTGACATCTACAGGATCGGTGGGATCGTATGAAGGAGAAGAAGGACCCGGCAATCCTGAAAGCCTTCTCCTCTATCTCGTTCTTCTTCTTTTCCTTCTCTGTAACCCGTGCTTTTCCTTCGCCTATAAAAGGAGAAACAGGGCGCCCCATGAAAAGGGGGATCTGGACACAAAAGCACGACACGAGCACACGCCTGAGCGGCAAGCGAGCTCTCAGCACCCGTTCACTCCTTCCATCAGAGACTTGGGATCCTCTCCCTCTCTCGTCTGTTTGTAATCCCTATTGCAAACCAAGTGCAAGTAACACGAGCAGCATCGAACTGGACATAGGGACGTTTCGTCCGAACCAGTATAAACCCTTGTGTCCTCCGAGCACACCATGTAAGCCAGACGCACAAATACAAATTTACTCATCGGTGGTCCGAAAACACTGACACATCAAGTCCGAACCTTGGGACCCGATGATTCCCGGGATATCGCCAGCAGTACCCTTTAATAAATTACGTCCTTTACTTGGCTGGTAGTGAGTAGGGGCTTCACCTGTCTTCTAGGGCTACTATGTCTTCTACTTTCAACTGCAACGGTACCTAGCGAACAATGTCATGCCAATTGGTTGGACTGAAGCTAAAGCCTAGAACATGTCATCTCATTTTTCGTTTTATTACGATGGGAACCAAACTATATTTATTTACTCGCTGATATATAGTGTCAATCCTCTGCTAATCAAGATGAACAGTCATGTTAGCTAGCGAACAATGTTGCAGCTGCAATCTTGCAAGTCAATAGGAGCTATTGCCAATTGGTATGTTTCCACATATATATATTAAGTAATTAAGTAAAAGATTCACACTGTGTTAATAGTTGATAGTCCAAGTCATGTATCTGAATGCATCAATTTGGCGGCCATCTTATATCTAGAAGCTTCGAAAAGTTAGATTTAGCTATAGAAAAAATTAGAAAATTCTCAAAACATCATAATCAACATCCAAACACATTTTTAACTTTACACAACAAGTAAATGAGATCCAACTATCATGAATGCAGCATGCACTAATGTTGAATGCATTCATGATTTGGGTCTTATGTTTTTGTAGTGGAAAGTTTTTAAGGACACGTTTAGACATTGATTTTGATTATAATGCTTTGGAAAAAAAAATCAGATTTTTATGGATAATTTCCCCATTTTCTAGAGCTAAGTATAATCTTTTTGAAGCTTTTAGATATATTTTCACCAGCTCTAAATATTTTGTTTCGATTTATCGTGCACTAATCTGCATGTAGATTTTTTTGACCTTTTGTAATCTTTAGAGATATTTTTTGTTGTTTAAATTTTTTTTAGATGTTTACTGATTTTTTTAGTTAAAAACAAAAACCACCTTCAAAGCTACTTCTAATGGAAATAAGCATTAATAATTTAAACGATTTTAGAAAGAAGCAATTCCCTGTGAGCCATTATAAAAGATACAACTTCCCTATAAGTCATCGAAAAAGTTCATCTTCTCTCTCAACCACTGCTTCAACTTTTCACACCCTTACGTGCCACTGCCGTCAGTTGCGGAGGAAACGGTAGCTAACAGAAGCGTGAAATGTCCCTTTTGCCCTCTTATAGGTGGGCCCCACGCGTCAGCCATCTTCTTCCTCTCTCCTTGGTCATGGACGCTGAGGCCGAGCGTGCCAGGAGCTCAGCTGCTCCAGCGCCACCTCGGCCCTTGGCCTAGCGCCGCCACGGCAGGCCCCACCAGCGCCCCACCCCCGCGCCACCCTCACTCGACGGCGAGGCCTAGGACGGCGAACTCGGCTCTCTCGATCTGCTCAGTTCGTTGCCGCCATGGCCGACCACCGAGCTCGGAGCTGGAGCCGTGTGCGGGCATACGGTGCTCTTCCGTTCGAGTAGTAGTCGCCGCGGGAGCATCCTCGCCGCTACTAGTGGATGCGCCAGAGTCGGACCCGCTGGAGCTCAGTTCGTTGCCGCCATGGCCGGAGGAGCATCCTCGCCGATTCGGCCGGCTTGTTCACCGGCGGCGGCGAGGGAGTGGTTGGGCAGCCTCACGGCAGCATGCTGAGCTCCCAGGTGGCGTCAGCCCGGGCGTAGGCGGTCCGTGGCCTCCTGGCCACATGCACAGGCAGCAGCGCGCATGGCCGCATGCCGACGAGCAGGCTACGGTGGCAGGCGAGGGTGGAGGGATGGCGCTGGAGAGTCGGCGTGGAATGGGAAGGAAGGTGGTGCGGTCAGCGGGGAGCGAGGAAGTGCCGAGGTGAAGGAACAACGACGGCGCCGCGAGCTCTGCGGCTATCGATGGTAGATGTGGTCGCGCGCAGCAGCAGCATGGCGATGGCGAGAGCGAGTGAGAAAGCGAGCAGAGAGGCGAGGCGAGGGGAGCTCAGCATCTCCACACTCAGCGCGAGGAAGGGGCAGGGCACGCAGCAAGGAGGTGGAGCGCTCGGCCTCAGCGTCCATGGCCAAGGAGAGAGGAAGAAGAAGGCTAATGCGTGGGCCCCACCTGTAAGAGGGGCGAAAGGGACATTTCATGTTTATGTTGGCTGTCGTTTCCTTCAAGCTGACGGCAGTGGCATGGAAGGGTGGGAAAAGTTGAAGCGGTAGTTGAGAGGGAAGATGAATTTTTTTCGGTGGCTTATAGGAAAATTGTATCTTTTATAATGGCTTACGGGGAATTATCTCCTTCTAGAAATGGAGAGAAGATAGAGTAGTTCACAAGTCAAAAAGAACTTTTTTCGGACTTCCTATCTCAGGCGGTGGGCGGCTGCTGGGCTATGCGGCCAAGCCCATCCAAGGCCTCGTCGGCCTTTGCGTTGCCCGGCGGCGGAACCTGACAGTTTGGCTCCACACTCCCTTGGGCCCACCTACGGCAGAAGGAAATTCCGCTCCCGCGCCGTTCCAGTTTGCCTTTTCATTTCCCTCCCCCGCCTCCGCAGTCCGCACACTCCATTTCCAATTTCCCCTTCTCCCTCGTCTCCGTCGCCGCGGAGGCTCCGCCTGTGCGCCGCGGCCCAGGAACCATGCCGAGGAAGTGGCAGGTCTGGGGCCGGCCCGACGGCAGCATCGTCTGGGTCCCCGTCTCCGATGCGCCCCCAAACCCGCCTCCGCCGGGTCCGCTTCGTCCCGCTCCTCCTCATCCGCCGCCGCCCGACGATGCGCCAATCCGAGGTTCGATCTCCATCAACGTGTATACCCCTGCATTCGCGTTCATCTCAATCATGGATGGGTTGTTAATTCCTGACCTCCTTTCCTCCGCCGTCAGAAACCCTAGGCCCGGACACCGCCGCCGGATGCCGCATCCCCTCCATGGCCGACCTACTCCTCCAAGGTAGACGCCTCCTCTCCCTGCACCCGCGTGTGGCTTTGTGGCTGCGCTCGTTGCTGCACTTCGTCTCTCAGACTCTCTGCGTGCTTGTCTTCCCCTTGCCGCGATTACGTTAGTGGCGTGGTGTCTAACTGGCCGCTGGCTGTTTGTTTCCGTTGGTGGGACCCCGCAGCGCGGGACAAGCTGATTGAAAGCGATGGGATGAATGGAGTGACTCAGGGTGTCAATGCGGCTGGACTGTTCTCCACCGGGTCTGGGAGGTCACTGGCTGTCAGCCAGAGAGCCGTAAGGAGGGCCAGGGAGTTGGTTGGGGAGGAGGTGGACGAGGCTACTAATAACAATTACAAGAAGAGAAGTAAGTCTTGATTGTGGTTTGGTTGAATTGCTGTGCATTGTTGGATGTTTGGTAGCTTGGCATCAGCGCTGTTTATTATGTTTATTTGTCTATGCCTCAACATTGGGCTGATGGGCTTGTCTATTGCAGAGCAACCATTTGGAGGTGATGCTGGTCTGGAGGGTGAACGGGCAAACTTACATGTTCCATTTGGAGGTTAGCCTTGTTTCTCCCATCTCCGTGCTGGCTATTAGATTGGATCTTGCAACTAGAGATAAAGGGTCCAAGTTTTGATAATTTTGGTGGAATTCTGTGGTGCCATATTGACATACTATAATTTGAAAAATTTAGGTGGTGCGCATAAAGATAACTTCTTCCCAATGTTCCAAACTGGATCTGGTAAAACAGTCTTGCTCAGCAAGGACTCAATTCAGAAGGCAAGAGCTGTTCTAGAAGGTAGGAAGTGATTTCATATTTCATGTTGTGTACTAGCCAAACATGTCATTAATTATGAAATATCTTGTTTCTAGAAAATGTTGAGAATGTAGCTGGTGCCAAGCAACCAATGTTCCATACTGGTATGGGTAGATCGGTCCTAGTCAGCAAGAGCTCAATCGAGAAGGCGAGAGCTGTTTTAGGGGGTCAAATGATCACAAATGAAGGTTAATTTCATTCCAGCATTCATAAGTTTTGAGAATTTTGCCGAATGATTCTAGATATGCCTTATTTGTGATCCATGAGTCCTATTACAGGAGATGTGGATGGTATGGAACAGTTTCCTGTGTCTCAAGCTGGTTCAGGTAGAGCTGCATCAATCAGTATGGCATCTGTACAGAAAGCTAATGATGTGCTAGAAAAAAATAATATAAAAATAGTTAACATTGGTTCTTGTACCGTTTAAGTAACTATGAACTTTTTACCTATTTACTTGAGAATGGGCACCTTCTTAGTCTTAGTGTATGATGCAATACCTCTATTTTAGGAAGTGTGGAAGGTCCAGGTAGACCCAATCAGTCTCTGATATTTCAAACTGGCTTTGGAAGACCAGTTTTGATCAGCAAAAGATCCGTCGAGAGATCTAGGGCTCTGCTGATGGATGAAGATGCTGAAAATATTGGTAAGATACTAAGATTAGTCTATGTCTTTGGCTCTTTGCAGTTTTCTAAATTCAATCATGATAATAAGTGTTTACTTCTTTGTGTGAAGGACAACGGGATACTGGCTGCCAGCTCCCAATTTTCCAAACAGGACTTGGAAGGCCTGTTGCTGTGGAACAGAGTTCAATTGAAAAGGCAAGCGCAGTTTTGGAGAATGGAGATATTAAAAGAAGTGGTAAAAACACTCATTCAAGCTTATTATTTACTTATTTATCTATTGCACAAGATTCATCAAATTTATTTCCGTTTGTGAGATTCAGGAAATGGAGATACCAATGTTTGTGCCACACCTTTCCAATTTGAAACCCCAAAATCCGTTTTGATGAGTAGCAGTTTGATTATGAATGACATGACTTTTACACCAGAGGAAAATACTTCAGTGCGAGGTATATATGCCTTACCTGATTTCACTGTGAAAACTTCTCCCTTTTGTGCCGTCTTGTGTGCCATCTATTCAATTTATTTACAGTACAAAAAATGTCACTATCAATACATCCTAGATGTTTCTCACTTGATAATCTTTGTTTTCCAGCAGAAAAATGTTTCAATGATGGTGGCCAATTGCCGTTGTTTCAGACTGGGTCAGGGAGGCCAGTCACAGTAAGTAAGGGTTCCATTAAAAGGGCAAGTGCTTTTCTGGAGCCAAGGAACATCGCAAAGGAATTGGAAGGTAAATCATGCTCAAAACATCAAATGTTGCCATTTTTTAATTGCTGTTCACGTCTTTCTTTTTCCTGACAAAGTGACAAACACGTTTCTTCTGCTCAGATGAAGCTTATCTCAATGATGGTCATGCCACCTCAATATTTAAAACTGGAACTGGAAAGTCTATCTTAGCAACTGAGAACTCAAGGGAAAGGGCACAATTTGTCTTAGAGGCTAAAGAGGCTGTAAAACAAGGTAAATTTGTGTTCTAGATTAAGATTTCTTACACTTAGGTTCCACAGTTGGTAAAGATAGCTTTTCTATTGCACTGCTAAATACTGATGTGTCATGTGCACAGCAGTAATTAGTGATGGATCTGGCTTTGATGAAAATCCAATGTTCCATTCTGGAAAACAACAGTTTTTGCCTGACAACGATAGTTCAAGACCTAGGGCCAGTACCCCCATGGAGCAAGGCAAATTTGCAACAAAAGCTATCCCTTGAAATAGTGGATTACACTATAGGGATTTTTACACAGCTGATCTTAGATTTTTAGTATAGGATTTCACAAAATAAATCATACATGATACATGTTTGATTCTTTTATTGAGTTGTAAAATATTATTTACAACATTATTTTTGAAAGGATATGAAGACTGTGGAAGTCCATTGCCAATGTTTGAAACTGGATCTGGAAAATCTGTATTGGTCAGTGAAAGTTCGGTGCAAAAGGCAAGAGCCATTCTCAAGGAAGAAGGTGATGTAAACACTAAACAGAGCTATTTACTGTATAGCATGCATATGAAACTTTATTCTGTGGATATTTTGCTGATGCAACAACTGATACTTCATAGTCAGTAACCTCCATTCTCTGTTTACTTTATGACTTCGACTTTTCAGGGTCCATGAAAGCTACTTTATTTTCAGTAGCTCTACATAAATCCCTCAAAGTTACTGTTTTTTATGGTTGGTCTTCAAAGTTAGATTTTGACCAAGATTTTCTCACAAAATCACTTATTTTTTCCTTGAACGATCAATGTTTTCAAGACGTCCGATTAATCGCGACTAATCGTCCTGGACAGTTGGAGCTACTCGACCAGGGCCTCCGACTCGGCCAGACCGTCCAGGAAATTGGACGTCCGATTAGTCGTCGTCCAGTCGCGATTAATCGTCGTCCAGCCAGAGAGTGGGCTGCATCTCAGAGTTGGGCCTATCTAGACACCCGTGGAGATGGAGGAGGCTTTCGTGTAGATGCTGATTTACTTGAGTAGTTCTTATCATTGGCCATTTTGCCTATTTATGTACTGGACTTGATGTATGCACTATGCAGTATGCACTATGGCAGTGGCAGTGTGCCACTATGCACTATGCAGTTCTGGACTGGTTTAAATTATGTGCTTTACTGTGTTAATTTGCTTTGTTGATCACTTCATTGCCTTTCACCTAATTGCCTTTGTTAATGTGCTTTATTTTTCTATAATTTCAGTTTGGCAGCAGCAGCCAACAAGACAAGAAAGGGCTCTGCAGCAGCCAGGTAAGTGGCCAGCTGACCTATCTATCTAGAGCAGTAGAGCCTAGAACATGTAGTATACTAGTGTGTGTGTGTGTGTGTGTATATATATATATGGTATATATTTTATACTGTATATATAACTATATAATATATATATGGTATATATTTTATACTGTATATATAACTATATAATATATATATATATATATATATATATATATATATATATATATATATATATATATATGGTATATATCAGTCCCTATATGTAGGGGGACGACTGATTTATCAGGGGACTCGTCCTGTGGTCGATTAATCGTCTGGGCGGTCCTCAAAGGCCCGTGCTCGACTCAAATGGCAAATCTGAAAACATTGTGAACGATGCAGGAGAGCTGCATACCGCTATAAATCCTATATATTGTGAAAGCATTTTGAAATGTGAATCATTGTAGATTTTTTACACTAAGCATGCTTATGATTTTTATTAATTGTTGGTCAAAGCATCCAAAAATTGACTTACTCCAAATTAAAATATGTCTTGTATTTTTGAATGCGTGACTTCTGCTGGGTTTCAACTCTAGCCTACCCCAACTTGTTTGGGACTTAAAGGCTTTGTTGTTGTTGTTGTTGTATTTTTGAATGGAGGTCAGGGAGTACAATTTAACAAAATAATGTTATAGTGGCAGTTTTGGTGACAACCATAGCTGTGTAGTCAGTGTCTAAATGCACTTATTCTGAAATATCAAACAAAAAAGGAACAGATGGAGTATAAAACTAGATTGTATTGAATAAAAGTACTTTCAAAAGGCACACCACCATTATGTGAAGATATTGTCTAATTAATTATGAGGTTTTATTATTCCTTTTTAGATGTGAATATGAAGCTCTCAAACACAGTTTACAAACTGCTAGTAGTTAACCACGTTTTTTCTAACTACCATAAAAGAAAGAAAACATTGTTGCATTGACACGATCTATTTCTTCGTTTATGCAAACTAATCATTCTTTACCATGCTCATTTAGAGCATTATGCACTTCACTGTTCAGACAGTTGCATCGGCCTTATGTGTAAATAAACGAATACTGTGCAGAAGCGTACCAAATTGAAATGTATGACCAAGTTTCAAGAACATGACATGAACAATGGCTAGTTAAATCAAGTGCTGATGTGGCATAATGCTGCTGCTGCTTTAGATAGTAGAAAACTAGAAATACTTGTTTCTCAAGGATGTAATGGAGAATGCTTGACCTTAAAATTTAATCTTCATTTTCCCTTTATTTATTGCTGATCTGAGTTTTTCTTTGTCAGAGCACTTCAAATTGGTTAAGACGGACAAAAAAATTGCAGCCTTTGCTTCACCTCTCAAGACAAGCCGTGCAAGAATAGTAAACATATCTTCAACTGGTGTTTCTCGAGCTGCTACCTTATTGGGCTTGGAGGAGAATACCCTTTCAACACAATTTTTTGGACATGTGAGTGATAAGTTAGGTACGAAGATAACTGTTAAGCGGGGAAATCCAGAACACAGGCTTGATGTTGCATCTACAAGTGCAATTTCTAGTGGCACTCATAAGGGTACTTATCCAACAGAAAACCCCACACATATGGATAAACATCAGCAGTTTGGATTTTCTAAAAGTACTACCTCTGATGCTGGTGAGCATTCCATCAGGTTCAGCACTGCAGGTGGCCGATCAATGGCTATCTCTGCTGATGCACTACAACGTGCGAAAAGCCTTTTGGGTGATTCAGACTTAGTGGTTTCTCCAAATGATTCAATAGGTCACTCTTTGGCATCAGCTACAGATAAGCTACCAAAATCAACTATTTCTCCGAAAGGAGATGTATCTAACCTATTGCATGGAACTATAGCAATAGGATATGCTGTACCTGACGCCCCTTTGACTAAAAAAAGTGCTAATCAGTTTCATATGGGAAGGGAATATCGTCCAATCAATGAAATTCCAAAGGTCCCCAAGCCTCCCTCCAGATGTTTATCTGAAGGCAACAATGTGAGTAATGCTAAAGACAAGACCCAGTGGCATCATATGCCAACTGGACCATTGGTTGGCATCACTAACTACATGGCTACATGTTCTGGAAATGCGGACCGCTTAGCAAATGGAACGAGAATAATCGGGGGAAGAAACTCCATATCTCCATTCAAACAGCCCCGTTCTTCCAGGTCCTTTTGATATACTCTCTGTCTAGCAAGTTTTAAACTTTTCTATGTCATGCTTCTGATACATCCTTGGTAAAACTGGCTAGGTTCGTCACGCCAATAAAAAACAACAAACTATCTTCTGCTGGTAAGCTGATGGTGATACATAGTTAGCACATTCTCCAGATTCATTCGTATTTGATAGGCTGGACTATTTTTGACAGGAGAATCTATAGTGCCTCCAATGCAGATCAGTCCCTGTAGGACAATGCTATCTGCACGTTATCCTTTCCAACATCAAAGGAAAAATTACAAAGAATATTTTGGTGGTCCTCCTTGCTTCAAATATTTGGTACAGTGTTGCTCCCTTGCATTTAATTTCTGCTGATGTGTTATTTCCTAAGTTTGTTAATTATGGATCTTTTCTTGTCAGCAGACTGAACATGTAACTGATGATGTAAAGCTCATGGATGCAAGAAGAGCTGAGAAGTTTAGGTTTCAGCATACGGATACTGGTGCAGAAGAGTTTCAGAAAATGCTGCTCACATGTGGTGCTTCATTGTCATGTGCAACTAAAGAGTAAACATCATTCTTGAATGCCATGTTCCACTATTTCATGCTGATGATACAAGATTGACCTTTATGGTTGTTTGGATTGTGGGATCAGAGAAGTGGGATTGGAATTAGGATGTGGGGTGATATAATGTTAACCTTTAATAAAAAAGAGTGAAGGCTTCTGCTCAATAACCCACTAGAAAAGAAAATTCATAACTTAAAATAAGCAAGTACGATGTTAGGTAACTTGATGTGGTGCTTTTGAGTGACAGGTGATTAAAAAAATGTTTGATTGTTACCTTTCCAGTTTCATGTGTGTACTTAAGACTTTATTTGACTTGATGGTGATAAAATTTCTTCAGACATTCTGCTATCAAGTCACTTTACTTTTCCTGTTTTAGATGGGTCAGTAACCACTATAAATGGATCGTGTGGAAGTTTGCTTCACTCGAGAGATGCTACCCAACTAGAGCTGCTGGTAAATTCTTGACAGTTGACAATGTTCTTGAGGAGCTTAAGTACCGGTGAGATGAAAGTCATGTCTTCTATTTTTCCATTTCAGTTGTATGGATGCATATGATTTTATTCATGAAATTTCATGGATTTTAGCTATGACAGAGAAGTGAATCATGGTCATCGGTCAGCAATAAAGAAAATTTTAGAAGGGAATGCTTCACCATCTTTGATGATGGTCTTGTGCATTTCAGCTATTTACTCTTGTCCTGACCAAAATAACAATAAGTTGGAGGTTAACAAGGTAGATACTAATGAAGACAACAACGACAACCAAAGCTTGTCAGCCACTAATAGAAACATGTCTGCAAATATTGAATTAACTGATGGATGGTATGTGGTTGTGTTCACCTTATTGCATTGCATAGCATTGAAACTGAATGACTCCAACAAGTTCCATTGTCTGCTTCTTCACAGGTATTCACTTGATGCATCATTGGATATGGCACTTTTGGAACAACTAGAGAAAAGAAAGCTTTTCGTAGGGCAGAAGCTTCGGGTAATATGATATTTTCATTTTTCAAGGGACATGGCTGTAGTTATTACAAACTTCTAACATGTTTAACCTAATATGTGTTCCATCTTGGCAGATATGGGGAGCTTCTTTATGTGGTTGGTCTGGGCCTGTGTCATTTCATGAGGTTTGCCTGATGCCTGTTCCATCAATTCCCTCTAAATAAGGAATACCATGTAATTAAATATCTGTTGATGACATCATATTTTCAGGCGCCTGGTACTGTCAAATTAGCTGTTCACATAAATGGCACCTATCGTGCTAGATGGAATGACGCCTTAGGATTCTGTATGTGCCTGTTGTACTTAATTTTTCTTAAAGAACAATATCATCTTGTCTTGCCTGTTCTGATAGCAAAACATGTGTTCAGCTGGGGTTACCCATGAACATTTATGAGCAATTGTAACTAACACATTCTGCTTATTTCTTATCAAAATGGTGTTCTCTTTGATCTCAGGCAAGCATGTTGGACTCCCACTGGCATTCAGGTGCATAAAAGCTTCTGGTGGTAGAGTTCCTAGGACACTGGTTGGAATCACAAGGATATATCCTGTTCTCTACCGGGAAAGGTATATGACTGGATGTAAACTAAATTCATCACATCTGTCAGAAAGAAAAAAGATCTAGGATCAGATACACACATACTTGTGGAATCTCTAGGGCCTGTTTGGATCCTTTTATTTTAGAGGAACTGAGTCTACTTTATGGACTAGGCTATTTAGCTTGGAATTTGATATTCCACAACTTTCCAAAGTTTAGATATAAGCCTGCCTTAAATCATGGGGTGAGAGATAGAAATTGATTCCATAGATCCCCATGCTATGTTTCTTCTTTGCAACTTATAGCACGCTTTTCGGCTCACTCCCTTGTAGTAGAAGTGCAGCACATAAGTATCTCCCCCATGTGGCCAACAGGTATACAAGTATATTCCGTATGTGACCATATTAATTTAATTGATCTGTGCCTAAATTGTGATTATTAGAATGGATTTCAATACCAAGTATTCAAACAGGGCTAATGGTTAATTGTGTATGTCAGGTTGCCTGATGGTCGTTCTGTCATGAGATCTGAAAGGATGGAAAGAAAGGCGCTGGAACTATACCACCAGAGGTACTTAGTTATGTGACTAGTGAACAATACAAATGAATGCACTGAACAGTCACAACTCCTCTAGCAGAAGTAGATAAACTATTAAACTATTGAAGCACCATTGCAATCTCTGATACATGTGCAGAATGTGAATTAATAAATCTGACATGACTATTTTTGCTTGGCATGTTTTGCTGTATGGGGCTTATGATGTTTATATTATCTATATGTACTAATGTGAATCCATTACCTCTGCTCCTCATCGTGGCAGCTCAGAATTGGGTTCTCTCCTATCATTGCCTTTCTGTGCAATTAAGATTGCAGTCGTCCTCTTGAATATTTAATTAATTGTCTATTAGATTTGTTCAAGTGTGCACTGCTGATATTCATGAACACTATTAGATTAGTATCTGCACAGATGTTTTCCCTGATTATCAGTAGTCAAGACTGTTGGAGAAACCATGTTGCGAAAAGCACTTGCAAACATATTTGCTTCCCAATAAGTGGCACCATGTAAATATATGCGGGTTCCATGCACTGGTGAATTGTGATAGGCTGATAGCTGTGGGTTGACTATTGGCACAACTAATTTTTTGTGCGACATTCCCTACTGTAAAGAAGCTCGCTTTATTAAATCTATAGACCTCTACATATTGTTAAGGTATAATAGTCACGGGTACCAAAGATCTAGGTTTAGATCCATCCACTACCCTTTCCCTCTGTGCCTTTGCCTGTGTGCATTGTCCGCACGGCATCTATGACGTCTGCACGGGCGCTCTCCATCTGTCCTTGCGGGCTCTTTCCACTGGGCGGGACTTGTCGGTCCCTAATGGCCCACTGCCCATCGCGGGTTCGTCTGTTGCCCAGCGAGGAGGATATGTTCGTGCTGTCAGATTGATTCCGTCCATCATGGACCCGATTCCTCCATGCTTGTCAATGATTCTGCCCCACCTTTTGATTCTTCTTTATCTATTTCTGTCCGTCGAAGTCATTTTCCTAAATTCTTGTTGCTTGCTGCTCCTATAGTGTGTTTGAGGCCTATTTTCTAAATTCCTTTTTTTCTCAATTGCATGTGTGTCCATCCAAGTCCAGTTGCACATCTCCAGTTTGTTCAAGCCGTGCATGTCCACAAATTTTGTTAGATCAGCCAATCTTTTTTTTTCTTTGGTTAGCTAAGTCCTGTCGATTTAGCTAATCATCATCATTATTGATGCGACTATGCCCTCTTGGTCTCTTTCGTAGCCCATTTTGCTACACTTCATGATCAATGGACGTTTATTTGTTGCCATCACCATTCTATCCTACTATGTGCCGTCTTGCAGCAGTGATCTCTCTATGCTTCCTTTGGCTTGATTTGACACATATCTATATTATCGTTGAGTTCAAAGTCTTGAAGAGTTGAAGTAGGCCTGTACATGGTCTGGTTTAAGCAGTTTTTGGGCAAAAACCAGCCCAAACCGCAAGCCATCACTGTCCTACGGTTTGGAACCCGCGGGTTATACGGGTAACACAGTCTGGGCGTCCGCCGTATGACGTCACATCGGAACCAGAGGTTGAGGGTTCTTGTGCTCCTCCGACTCTGCCGTGTTCCTGCCGGTGGTGGCACCGTCGGGCACATTATCGACGAGGTTCAAAGAACAGTCATGCAAGAATCCCATCCGCCGCAAGCAAAAGAAGCGCCGCCGAGCAGAACACAACAGGGTTTCAGTTTCAGGCATCCGAACAAGCAGATTAGGCACAAATTGCAACTTCCCGACCTATCCAAGAGGAGATCCCACAAATTAAAGAAGCACCTTGAAAGGAAGCTTTAATTTCTTGCCTATTGCTACATGAAAAGTAGTGCTTATTGGTTGGATCGAGCTGGAGACGGCGGCACGCCGGCAGCAGCAACTTGGCCACCAATGAGAATCACCTCCGGCGGGCGCATCTCCTTGCCTGGTTCGTACCCTCCTTGAAGTCCTCGACGCGGCGCTTGCAATCCTCACAAATCTTGGACATGGAGAAGGACAGCAGCAGTTCCCTGTACCCGTAATTGCAGGCGATGGCCGATGTGGACTGTCATGACGTGGCAGCCCCGCCTGAGGCGTCCAGGGAGCGACGGTGGATCGCGCGTATAGTGATGGCGCCACCAGCGCATGGATAACCGGAGCACGAGGGGAGAAGCCGTGGCGGGCCCACGCCGCTCGGTTGAGAAGCCGGTGCTTTTGTTGTTCGGGTCCGACGGTTTAGCGGTCTGAGACCGTACTCAAACCAACCCAGGCATAGCTTCCAAATCGATTTTGAATGGGCTGGTTTTACGGGTTGAACAGGTTTCAACCAGCCCATGTACAGGGCTAGAGGAGATCATTGCATTTGAGAGGGGGTGTTAAGGTATAACAGTCAGGGGTATTAGTGTAATCTCCTAGTCTGGAGTTTCCCTCTTGTGTCTTCAATGTATTCTATCCCATTGGGCCTCAATACTATCATCTAGTTGAGTCTCTCTTTATTCGTCGTAACACATGCAATCAGTGAAAGTGCATTTAGAGTAGAGCCCTGAAGTTCTCGGATCAAAGTTGAAAGTTAGTTCTAGTTTTATTGATTCACTTTGTTTAATATTATCCCCCTTTTATGTGATCAGTAACATTACTGTTTCTTGTAGAGTATCTAAGATCACAGAAGATATTCTGTTTGAACAACAAGAAAACTGTGACAGTACTGATGATAATGAGGAAGGGGCTAAAATTCTCAAAATGCTAGAGCATGCTGCTGAGCCTGAATTTATACTTGCGGACATGACTCCGGAGCAGTTGAAGCTTTTCTCATCTTACATAGAAAAGCGAAATGTAAGTAGCTCTGGCATCTGTTGGTTCATTTTTACATGGAAAGTTGCACATGCTGAATCAATATACTGCAGATTGTTAAGCAAAACGAAGTATCTAAGAATGTTGAGAAGGCCCTTGAAGTTGCTGGCCTTAGTTCAAGGGATGTTACACCATTTGTGAAAGTGAGAGTGATTGGCCTTGCCAATAAACATTCAGCTTCCACAACCAGTAACAAGGAAGGGCTAATAACAATATGGAATCCTACTGAGATGCAGGTATGTCACAATCATCCTGCAATCTAGATGTGTTGCATACATGTTTAGGGTTTAGGGTTTAATGGTTCAGGGTTAGGTTCTGGATGAAAGGATTTTTGGTGTAAACCATTAAAGCTTCACCATTGCTATTGACAGAAACATAATCTTGTGGAGGGACAAGCTTATTCTGTTACGGGATTGGTGCCTTCGAACTATTGCACTGAAATCCTGTACTTGCATGCTAGAGGATCATCTACAACGTGGAAGCCTTTAGCATCAGCTCAGACTACAGATTTTAAGTAAGCGGCATGGCTGCCCTCCACAGTTACATTTCATCATTCAACCTTGACCATGTTTCTTTTTCCAGACCATTCTTTACCCCTCGTAAAGCAATTGAACTCTTGAGATTTGGTGAGGTGCCGATTTCAAGGTCAGTCTGATCTCATATTTAACCTTCCCAATCTTCTCTCATTGTATTAACGAACCTATTGAATAATTCGTATTGGTTGCAGTGAATTTGATATTGCAGGTCTTATTTTATATGTTGGCAATACTTATTTATGTAGCAACAAGAAAAAGCAGTGGCTCTTTTTAACAGATGGATCTAAATTTATCTCTGGACAAGGGTGTGAAGAGCAAGATTGTCTTCTAGCTGTTAGCATTTCGTCCGCAACCACTGACGAAGACTCTGCATTATTTAGTTATACTCTCTCTGGGAACACAGTATGTGATATTTTGATTTTGTATATATGTTGAGTTTCTGTTTCTTATTTTGATTTGAAACCTCTAGATTGAACACCAGTCTGGGAAATCTGTTGCTAGACATTTGAAGACCATTTGAAGTTATACATTTGTTCAGCTTTAACCCTTTCAAAGCAAGTGCAGCTTTAGCTTATTGCTAAATTTCTTGCTCAGGTTGGTTTTAGTAATCTGGTCAAACGACAGAAAGATGAGACGAGGCAAATATGGGTAGCTGAGGCAACAGAGAGCTCAAGCTACACTCTTTCCAATGAGATTCCTAGAAAATCTCACCTAAAAGAAGCTGCAGCTTCGGCTGAGAGATGGGCTTCAAGATCTTATCAGGTAAGTTTTCCACTCGGTAGGACAACCACAGTTAGGTGTGAGTGCTATATTTTTTATGATTGTAGTGTCACTCACTGTTTTACTGCAATACGAATGGCCCTTGCAGAAAATTCAAGAGCTAAAAGAAAGGATTTTATGTATAGTTGGCAACGCTGGTGTCTAAATTATAATAAACGGTGCTGCCTGCTGTTTTTGGAAATGGTGCAAGATTTTGCTTGGGGTTTTTGTTGTAACTACATCAATATTTCTCATTGATGTTGGCTGGTTCAGGTTGGAGCCTTTTACCGCAATACGAATGGCCCTTGCAAAAACTTCAAGAGCTAAAAGAAAGGCTTTTTTATGTATAGTTGGCAACCCTGGTGTCTGAATTATAATAAACGGTGCTGCCTGCTGTTTTTGGAGATGATGCAAGATTTTGCTTGGGGGTTCTTGCTGTAACTGCACCAATATTTCTCAGTGATGTTGGTTGGTTCTGGTTGGAGGCAATGTGTTCTAGTACAGTACTACTGAAGCATTATGCTAGTGGGATGTTCATGATCATGAACTGATGGGCAGAGAATAAACAACTATGATGCATACTTCACAGGATGCAAAGGACAAGGAGATAAATATTCTTCAGAAGGTATCACAACTTAACCATAATGCCTATTGACGTTTAGAAGCCATGTTATGTGTTGTGATGTACAATTACAAGATCAGCAACCCTATTGCATGCACAAATTTCAGAACTTGCCTAGCTGTAACCGCTACCATTGCTATATTTTTGCACTTACAGGGCTTGCTATTTTGGGATGGACAGACCAGAGTTCAACTCTATTCACATGGTAACTCTCAAGCCTCAACGTGTACCCCCTTTCTGGTTTATAACAGGGAGCCTTATGCTGCCCTGTCCAGTTCAATACTGGGATTTTGGGGCTGCCAAGTCTTTGTACTGTCCAGGCTTACATGAGCAAGTTGCCTATCCACTTGCTTAAAGGGCGTACTCAGTGCAGAGAGCTCCCGCTCTGTGCGGGGTCTGGGGAAGGGTGTTAGTGGCAAGCCTTACCCTCGCCTGTGCAATGCGAGGAGACCGCGACTCGAACCCGGGACCTTCCGGTCACAGGCGGTAAGACTCTACCGTTTGCATCAGGCTCACCCTTCTGCCTATCCACTTGCTTATAATTATAAAATGGTCTACGGATGTCGGGGACCAATACTAGGGTACCCGAAGAGGAGCTAATAACCATTAACGTTGATTCATCCGAGCGGTCAAGAGTGCGACTACACCTCTTGTTGGGCTCCATCTCGTTCGACCCTCGAGGGTTGGCAACGCCTCGGAGGACACTGAGGCCGCGGGCTCCGCCTCGCTTGACCCCCGAGGGTTGGCTCCGCCTCGGCTGACTCTTGAGGACGAGGTTTCCGCCTCGTCTGACCCCAAGGCTTTGGCTCCGTCTCCGGCTCCTTCGACCCCAGGGCGCGGGCTCTGACTCGTCCGGTCCCACGGGGAGGGCTCCGCATCGCTCGACCCCTGAGGATCGGATTCCGTCTTGCTCGGCCTCTAGGGCGAGATTTTCGCCTAGCCCGTTCCTTGGGGGTCGGATTTGCTATCAGACAAAAGCAGTGGCCCCAAAGTGGGTCCCGAACCAATCCAACCACTACGCGTGTGGAGGTGCACGCCCGGGAGCACGTCTCGTGCGCGTCCTGATGCGATTGGCGGTCGCATCAGGCCATGCTGGGAGACTCACGTCGCCCACTGCGTCAACAGGCCAACACTGTGCTGCCAACTCCTTGCCTGACCACCGTCCAACATCAGTCAATCGGCGTCAGTTGACTGGCACTGTATCGCCAGCCCCCTGTATGGCCTCTGTTAGGGAACCCTTTGACCATTTTGTCCGCTCAGATGGGATGGAAGACAAGAACGGCGCACGACGTCCGCACGTATGCTGCAACGGCCAACAGACACTGGTGCGATGCCGCTGCCACCACGATCTACAGGGTCAGCGGGATCCACGCGAAGAGGAGGACGACATGCCTTCGAGAGCCTTATTTCTCTTTCTTTTTTCCCTCTTCCCTTCTCTCGCTCTCTGGTATCCTGTTCTCTCCTTGGTCTATAAAAGGGAAGGCAGGACACCGTTCGGGGGGAGATCAATCGACCGATAGATCTAGCAGTAGAAGCACCGAGGAATCGAACCATAGAGACTTGGAGCTCCTCCCTCTTTCGCCAGTTTGTAACCCTCTACTACAAACTCAGTGCTGGTAACACGAGCAGCCCGAAACTGGACGTAGGAATATTCGGCCCGAACCAGTATAATTCTTGTGTCCTCTTAGCACACCTTCTGGGTCAGATGCGCAATAATACAAATTTACTAGTCGGCTGTTCGAAACAAAGACAGTTGGAGCGCCAGGTAGGGGCTCTTTGCACGTCACGTCGACACCACTAGGCCGCGGATGGCTAACCACGGTACGAATTGGGTCTTGGGCGCACACATGCGTTTTAGGAGCCTAGACTTCATTGTCTCCACGGAGGGAGAACTGGCGTGGGCTAACGGCCCTGCCACACCGCCTCAGGCCGTCAACCTCGATGCGGTCATTGAGACCCTCGGGGAGCTACGGCTGTACACCCTGGGAACCCGCGCTCCTGGGAGTGACCTACGTCCGTCCGCCGTGAACAGTGAGTTCGTGGGCGTGATGGATTACGTTTCGGAGTCAATCGTGGAAGGCTCCGAAACTGTCTTCGATTCCAACTCCGGCGGGGGGAGCCACGCGAGTGCTTCATGCCGGGAATCCACGATGTGCACGACGAAGGTGTCCACGGTGGGGAAGCCACTCCCTCGAATGGCCAGGACGACGAGGCCGAGGGGGATGCAAGGGCCTCGCACGTGGAGCAGTTGTGGGCGCGGCAGGAGGAGCTTGAGGACGCGCGGCTCCAGCTGGAGCAGGAGCAAGCAGAGCTCGAGCGCGAGATCGCTCACCGCGTGGACGGTGGGCACGCACGTGCCATGGCCCGCGACGTACACAGGAGGATCATCGAGGACGATGGTGGCCTCCCACACTTTGCCCGCGCCAGTTAGAACATAGCCGCAGCGGCGGCTATGATTCGAGGCATGGCAGAGCCCGCGACGCTCGATGAGCGCCGAGCTCTTTGAGAGAGATACGCACGTTGCTCGAGTGAGCAGCGGTGCAGCAGACAAAGAGCTCGATGTCTCGGCGACGCGAGCTCGATGCCAGCCAGCGCGCGTCCTCGGGACGTCGCGCTAGGGACGTATCCGTCCACCAGGCGCCCTCATCGCAGAGCGGTAGAAGGCCCGCCATGGCCTCGATCCAAGGGCGTCTCGGCCGCGACCATGACGCTCGGTTCACCCTGAACGCCTGAAGGCATGCACAGGGTGATAGAGGTGAGGCAGCCGACCGTGGCTACCACCCTCGCTGCGGTGGGCGCTACGACCGCGAGGAGGACCGGAGTCATAGCCCCGAACCAACGGGGCCCAGGCTTTCGGTTGGCATATCCTCAAGGCGGCGTTCCTGCCCCGATATCGCCCGCTGACTAATGTCCCAAAATACTCCGGGGAAATGAACCCCGGCATGTGGCTCGAGGACTACCGGCTTGCTTGTTGGGTCGGCGGTGCTGTCAATGATGACTTCGTCATCCGCAATCTCCCCCTGTTCCTGGCCGACTCGGCGCGAACATGGCTGGAGCACCTTTCGCCCAACCGCATTCAGAGTTGGGCGGACCTGAAACAAATCTTAGTGGGGAACTTCCAGGGCACTTACGCGCGCCCTGGGAACCCTTGGGACTTGAACTTCCTACATAAGTTGGGAGAGACTTCGCGAGTACATCCGACCCTTCTCCCGGCAGTGCAACGAGATCCCCAATGTCGTCGATGCCGACGTCATCGGAGCCTTCCTATCAGGAACCAACCGCGAGTCCCTGGTCCATAAGTTGGGACGTAAGGGCCCATGGACTATCAAGGAACTCCTCGACATCGTGACCAGCCACGCTTCCGGCGAGGAGGCGGTTGGAGCAATTTTCGATCGCTCTAGAGGCAAGGCGAAGCGGGATGAGGACATCGACGAAGGCCCCTCTGACCGTTCGAATAAGAAGAAGACCCGAAAAGGGCGCGGGGGCTCGCTCGTGGCCATCGACGAGCGAAAAGCCTGTTAGCGTCGGCCGAGGGCACCCCCGATCACTTCGACAAGCTGCTCGAGGGGCCATGCCCAAACCACGCCTTCCCCGTCAAACACATGTACAAGCACTGCTCCCTCATGAAGCATTTCTTCACTGGCGGCTCCAAGAAATGGGAGTAGAAGAAGCCCGAGGCAGAAGCCGACGCCGTCGGAGAGGAGGACGACGGTTTTCCGTCGTCGAATGGCTGCCTCATGATCTTCGGTGGGCCGGAGGCATACGGCTCCAAGCGTCGACAGAAGCTCGCGCGCCGAGAGGTCTACGAAGCTGAGCCCGCCACGCCCGCTTTTCTCAAATGGTCAGGGTCCCATAACCTTCGACCGATCCGATCACCCGGATAGCGTCACACACCTAGGTAGGTACCCGCTCGTAGTCGACCCTATTGTCGGCACGAAGCGGCTCACCAAGGTACTGATGGACGGGGGTAGCGGCCTCAACATCATATATGTCGAGACGCTCGATGCTATAGGCATCGATCGAGCGTGCATCCGGCCGACCGGAGCGCCCTTCCATGGCATCGTGCCTAGAAAGCAGGTCGTGCCACTTGGGCAGATCGATCTGCCCGTCACATTCGGGGGCCCGTCCAACTATAGGACGGAGACCCTCACCTTCGAAATGGTTGGATTCCACGGAACCTACTACGCCATCCTGGGGCGACCGTATTACGCGAAGTTCATGGCCGTCCCCAACTACACCTACCTCAAGCTCAGGATGCTGAGCCCACGCGGGGTCATCACCATCGGCATTTCTTTCCAGAGGGCCTACGAGTGCGAGGTCGAAAGCTGCGAGCTCGCTTCGGCAACCCTCGCTTCAGAGGAGCTCGCCACCATCGGGAAGGACATCGTTGAGGGAGCACCCAACGCGAAGCGGGTGGCCGGATGCTTTGAGCCTGCGGAAAACGCCAAGGAGGTCCTCGTCGACCCCGACAACTCCACCATCAAGACGGTGCGCATTGGCACCGCCCTCTCCCCCAAGTAGGAAGGTGCGCTCGTCGACTTCCTCCGCGTCAATCGAGACATCTTTGCGTGGAAACCCTCGGATATGCCGGGAATTTCGAGGGAAGTCGTCGAGCATGCCTTGAAGATCAGGTCGGGTTCCAGGCTGGTTAAACAACGCCTGCGTCGCTTCAACGAGGAGAAGCGGAGGCTCATCGGCGAGGAAATCGCTAAGCTCTTGGCGGTCGATTTTATTAAGGAAGTATACCACCCGGAGTGGTTGTCCAATCCCGTTCTTATAAAAAAGAAAAGTGGGAAATGGAGAATGTGTGTTGACTACACGAGCCTCAATAAGGCATGCTCGAAGGATTCGTTTTCTTTGCCGTGCATAAATCAAGTAGTTGACTCGACCTCGGGGTGCGAAACCCTATGTTTTCTTGATGCGTACTCTGGGTACCATCAGATCGCGATGAAAGAGTCCGACCAGCTCGCGACCTCTTTCATCACCCTGTTTGGATCGTTTTGCTACGTTACGATGCCGTTCAGACTCAAGAATGCTGGGGCTACGTACCAGCGTTGCATGACCAAATGCTTTGGACACCTCATCGGGCGGACCGTTGAGGCTTACGTGGACGACATCGTAGTCAAGTTCAAGCAAACTGACCAGCTCGTGGTCAACCTGGAGCAGACCTTCAGGAAGCTCCTAGAGAACAGCATCAAGCTCAACCTTGTGAAATGCGTCTTTGGGGTCCCATGGGGCATGCTGCTCGGATTCATCGTCTCCGAGCGTGGCATCAAAGCCAACCCAGTAAAAAACTCAGCTATCACGAAGATGGGCCCGATTTCAAACCT